ATCAAATTAATATATAATTTTATTGAACCTTTTTATATTCTTTAAAAATGATATATAATAATTTTCAGTTCAATAGATTATGTATGTATATCAGATTTCGTCTGACGAATTTCAACGAATACGATTCCCTGACGTTGTCCTTTTATTTTGTAGGTGAGGTATCAGGTGAAAACGTGTCCGCCAGTTCCGGGCCACGTGGCGCTGATCGTGGAGAGGCGACCGATTTAGGCACACACACGGAAAACAACGACGGGGCCACCCTGGCCGCGAACACAGCGGTCGACGCCAGGGGCGGAAGCCCCCAGGGCGCTCACCTCTCTGGTGCGGCCACCCCCAGACCGCCGCGAGGAAGGAGGCGGCAGAATCAGAATGGTCTCGACACTACTCAAGTAGGTTACACGATGAATTGATCATATCATTCAAAATAATCGTACGATAAATTAGTTATATAATTGAAAACTATTTTACGACAAATTAATCATATAATTTAACTTTCGTAGAAGCCAGAGTCTAGCACTTCTGTAGTTAATTATTTTACATCAGATGCTTCATTAAGATAGACAAACTATAGTCTATAGTGAACTATTCAATGTTGTCTGAGAACTCAATGGTTTATTACAATTTACTGTTCCCTTTCCGAACATTTTCAAGCTGGGTTAAAAGACTTTCAAGTATTTCCATAGATCTTTTAAGGAGTGAAAGGTTAAGGAATGAGTTTCAAACTAGGCACATCTTTATTCAATCTATTAGTACATTATATAGTCTTTCTTAATGATTAAAGTACACTTACATTTTTCCCGTGTCCACTTTATTTTCAATCTTTCTCAGAAATCTCGTTTACAGGCTTCTATACAATTATTCTATTTTCCAATCAGATTTCTGTTCCGTAAGACTCATTAAGAGCTTCGGTTCCCGCGTAATCACCGAAAAGCAGGATTCCTTTGTAGATTGGTACCCTCGGTATTTGCGTTGGGACTCCCGAGAGAACCCGTGCCCACGGTGGTCCGAAGTGTTTGATCATCACCGGAAATATGTATGAGAAGCTGAAGGTGCTCAGCAGTAGGAAAGGTCTCCGTTTGAAGCGGTAGCTTTAGTGTGCTCTCGCGAGCGAGGAGTTTCTATCGTCCTAAGTCCGTGGAGAGCGGTGCTCTATGAGTACAGCGATGTCAACGAAAGATGCAGTGTCATACTGCCGCTGACATCCGTGTAGCCATTCGACGCTTCTGTGAACGGTGCATTGAGGCCAGAAAAAAGGGGACGGTTCGGAGGCAGGGAAAATATCGATGGTCATCGTTCGGAGGGAATGTCCGTTCAATGACATGTGGAGATTCGGTATTTACGTAGTATACGGACTACCATTGTTTTAAGCGATAAAGTATTATAAAGTATGTATGTAATAAATGATATACAATATTATGATATTAAATACGATAGAATAGTATGTTGTAATATTACATGTAATTATATTATAGTATATATTATTATAGTTAGTAATATATTTAATAGTAAATTTATTAGATAATGTACTGTAATATTATATATAATAAACTAATATATTATAATATTGAATAAATACTAACTCAGACAAGTGCCACCTTTATTTGAGAGACAGAAGTAGTCCGTATAATACGTAAGTACCGGATATTGTTGAACTATCTTCTGACGTGGACAAAATGAAGATCTCTATGTTAGGAGGATTGAAACTGAAAGAATAGGATAGAGTGATTATAGATGCACGGAGATAATAAAATAATAGTGGAGATCATTATTCAATACGTTCATTCTTTGATTTATTCGTCCTTTCGCTTTGTAATAGGAATGATATTAATCTGTACATGAATGGTAATGAACCCACTCGTCATTTGCATTCGGATTTCTAGTTTCATTGGTTACTTATCTAAAGATTCTTGAAGTAGATTATCTCGGAATCTCCTTGGTGATGTAAATTAAATTATAATTGTATTCGTTGTGGGATAGATCGCTTCAGATCGTTATCATTCCCCTTCACTTATGCCTGCGTGGATATTATTGGTCGGGAAGACTGATTGACAAGTTAATTAGATATGAGAAAGATAACGATAAATGGTTAATTGGATAATGAAGTCAGAACCACCCTTAAGCTAATTCAGGCCGATAATGAATCGTTCGATAGCTTATCAAGAATAATATTTTAATTTTAATTTTCTATCTTGACTTTGGATGTAGTTACAAGAAAAGTAGTAATTAAGAGATATCGTTAACAACAAATAATCATCTTACTTGGTTCAATAACAGTTTCAATTTTCAATTTTGTATTTTATTTATATTTAACTTTATATGTATATTAATAATATGGAAACAAAGGAGATAAGTACTTAGATGTCAAAACAAATTTTCTCCAACTTCTAAGCGACCTTCGATCACTTGTATTCAAGAAAATATTACAAATTTTATAAATACGTATCAATAACCTGCCTCAATCTTTTAACTACAATTAACTACATAGAGTTCGAGCTACAGTTACTAGAATACCTAAATTACGTTCAAACAATTACGACAGACCAATGTATAAATCCAATAATTTCTTTGCCAGTAAACAAATAAAATTACCTCTTCAACACTAACCAGTAAAAAGAATGTTCAAATCTTCACAAATAATAAACAAAAAACGAGAAATATGGTTTCCCATATAACAAACCCAACTGGATTCTCATTTCGATCAGCTTCACTTCATTAACAATACCCAGTTAAAAAGAATGTTCAAATCTTCACAAATAATAAACAAAAAACGAGAAATATAGTTTCCCATATAACAAACCCAACTGGATTCTCATTTCGATCAGCTTCACTTCATTAACAATACACAGTTAAAAAGAATGTTCAAACATTTTTCACAAATAATAAACAAAAAACAAGAAATACAGTTTCCCATAAAACAAGCCCAAACTGGATTCTCATTTCCATCCAATTCACTTCTTTAACAATGCGCAATGAAAAAGAATGTTCAAAGCCTCACAAATAATAAGCAAAAAACGAGAAATATAGTTTCCCATACAGCAAACCCAAACTACAATAGATTCTCATTTCGATCCGATTCGCCTCGTGATCCGACGGCTCGGTCTACCCTATCAATTCAGGCAATTTGGTAAAGAGTTCAGAATAGACTTCGGCCCGAGGCAAACAGCGTACGGAAGGACATTCAGGCGTTTTCTTGGCTAAGAAACTGGCAAGTGGGACTGAAAGAGCAAGAGTCCCTGGAAACGTATACACGGGGATCGTGTCTACGTCGCGAGACCCGGAGCGGCCCCTTGTCAGGAAGAGGTCTCGAGGCGAGAAAGAGATTTACCGTGGCCTCTTCGAGCGGCTCCTCGGACTCCTCGGGGATCCTATTCTACGCCAATCGAGTCTCGTTCTTCTTAGTGTCACGCCGCGTTCTCGCAGCCGAAGAGGAGTCAACTCTTACGCCACGCGTTGCCTTCATTACCATATCTCAGATGCAATCTGTTCCCGGGAATTAATGCGCGGAGATATTTCCTGCTAGGTCGGACACTTCCCCGGTGAAACCGAAGTGGATCGCAATGACGTTTTCAATGACCAAGGACGCGAGCAGTGAGGCTGTTCCTTGATTTGCATTCGAATCGATTGGGGGAAGGGCGAGTTTCAGCGTTCCTCTAGGTTTCTTTTCAGTGGGATACCTTTTTAGCGGCGTTGGGGAATTTGCTATTGTTTTTTGAATGGTTTGATTTGTTATTTTAGATTGATCGTTGGTCGTAGATTAGAATTCGATGAGAGAAATTAATGGTTCTTGGTTCTCTGATTTGAAGTTTTTAGCTCTATCGTTTGTGTCATATGTTTAAGAAGATTAAGGATTGTTTGGTTTAAAAGTTACAATTATTTGTTAAATAAGGCTTAGTTAATTATTTGATTAAATATTGTTCTCGCGAAACCACGTTTATATTTCGCAACAATTACTGTATTAAAGTGAATTATATGAGTCAACTTGCAGACACCGATTTACACAACACTGGTTTATTTGTTAGTTGTTTCGTTACGTAGATATTTAGATAAATTTAAATGCTGTATTAGCAATACAATGAAAATCATAAAATGACGGAACACGGAATACCGAAAAACAGAAAGAACGCTTTGCTTTAAGATGCTTGATAATATGCGACCTACGTTGTTTATATGGGAGCCATACACACATACATTCTCACGCATGTACTCAAGGGTTATTACCCTTACTCCTCTTCCCTCTTTCAATTTCGCTCTCGCTCTCGCACACACTCGGAGGTCGTCACACTTCGCACTCACTCTTCAAGTCATTCTTTGCCTACTATTATTGTTTATCGGGCGCCACTTGTTTACCTCAAAAACAAACGACCGGCGACCCGCTCTAAAAACACGCATACTCTTTTCTCCGGGGAAGGTCGGTCGCGCCGAACTGCTCGGCTTCCTACAGATACTATGTAACATTGTTATTACTTAGGTCTCAGTTCCTCTTAACTGTTTGAGTCCCAAGCAGCGCGATCGCGGTGTTTAGATGTTACGTCGAAAGGACACAGTACATTTATACGCTTCATACTCCGTTGAAATAGCGCGCTCAACTTTTCTGACGCATGTACATCACACTGCTAGTTCTTTTTATGTAAATAATACAAGTAATACATTTTGTGTTTCGTGGTTAAACTTTCAATCATTTTTACTGAAATAAACTATAAAAATAGTATAAGCTCGATGACGTGAAAAGTGTGAATACGTTATTTGGCAACGGCAAACATAAATTCGGACAAGCGCTGTCGCGCCGCTCGGCTCTTTTCGCTAGTTTGGACGCTGATGCACTGTTCGGTACTTTCCGAGAGAGTTTTATCAATAGCCTGCGAGGCTCAAATGGTTATCAAAGTGTGTTTCTTTATGTATCTTAAAATTTAATTATTTCTGGATACAATTTAATTGTCTGTGTTGGTACTTGGTAAGTCTTTTTAGAGAGTATTCGACGTTTTTGCTTCAGGTCAAAACTGAACGACTCACGCCAGACAATAACTCAACATCGTCGAGGAGCGTAACGCCCTCGTCGTCTAGCCATCCGGGAACGCCGCCAAATGCAACCCCCTTGGGTGGTCCCGAGGGCCCACCGCCACCGCATCATCTCAAACACATGGAACAGATGATGGGACGGAGTTACAGCGATTTTATGAAAAGTCTCGCTGCCAAATACAACAATGCCAACCCGAATGAGTAAGTCGCCATTCTCTTCTTCCGTAAATTAAACCTTACACTTACGTATAACCATGATTCAGCTTGTCAAATATTACGTTCAATTCCCAATAATTGGATTATTAACTTCTATATCAATTTCATAATACTTCAGTAACCTTCAACTTCGTGTATCTTCTAAACAGATATTAAATTCGACGAAGCTCATTCCACATTGTTTTTTTATTCGACTTAATTCTTAAGAAAAATAATGAACGAGTAAGTTATAAACTACAATTTACATTTATACATAACCATAATTAATACTTGTCAAATATTAAGTTCAATTATTCTCAATATTTCGATTATTACTAACCTCTACAACAATCTTATAACGCTTCAATAACCTTCAACTCCGTGTACCTTTTAAACAATCATTAAATTCGTCGAAGAATCTCATTCCACACTTTACTATCTTTATATTCCACTCAATTCCTAACAAAAACAGCTGCCACTACCACTCACTTTTCACGAAGCATCGTATTCCCCTCGCACTTCGAACCAACAAATGAAAGTGAAAGTACCAAATACCATCGAGAAGTATGAGCTGCGAGCGGTAATGTTCTCAATTCCAGCACAACAATCATCATAATTGTCAGGGGCTCGTGTAACTCGCGCACCTTTCTTTCCAAACGCAGGCAAATGTCGATCCATTACCGCGCCCGCGGCTTCAGCTATCGTCTAGCGTTGTTTGATGTAAGGAACGTAAGACCTTGAAAGTCATGACGTTTGCCTTGACATTCTTCCCGTGATCTCTGTGTTCCGTGTGCATACGTGGGAACGCAGGAACGCCTAACAGGCGACTACGCCGGGCTCGCGGCGGGCCCGGCAGACAGTTCGACGAGGACGCGAAGCCGCGAAGGGAAAATATTGGTCGTCTTGTTACACGTCTTGAAATATTGATGCTCGAGGGGACGGAACGGCTGGGTGTTCCGCGGGATATCGTCACCGCGGAACCGGTCGCGGGATCCGCGGATACGTCGACTTTCAATTATGTGCCTTCCGGCAATCGATCGAGCGGCTACTTTCTGTTGATCAGTCAAGTATCGGGTATACGTAGATACGCTTGACCAGCGCGTTGAAAAGTCCAGCGATGTTTGCGGTTCGTGACATTTCGAGGAAGTATACCTACTCGTGTTTCATGGTTTTGGTTCGTTGAATGGTTACGGAGACTAGCTCGAAGGTGTATGCATGCGGAGACTAGTTTGAAAGTGTATGAATGTGGGTTTTGAACAGGTTGTAAATCGATTGTGCATTGCAATATTTTGTATTAGTAAATTTGATTGTGGGGATGAATGTATTTTGATTGTGAATGTATTCTGTTAAGGATTTAGTGAATCATTAGTTGGAGATTGGTAGAATTGTGATCTATGAGTAGTGACTTTTTAGAAGGTTTTATAATCTGGATATTAGTAACGTAACAGAGGACCACTTTGTAGTGAAACTGTTAAAATTGCAAAGAAAGTCGTTGCACAATTTATGATTATATAGAAAATAGTATGAACTGTATATAATTGTAGTTGTAGTTTCATGGGGAAACTAGATTGATTTAAATTTTGAGACAATATGGATTCTTCAGTAGCAATGAAAATTTCTGTTATCGGATTTCAGATAAAGACAAAATGTGTTTTCAGAAATGTTAAGAAAACTGTTCACTTTTACAGTGTCTTATATAAGGGTACATTTTTTAAAAATAATTTTGATAAAACTTACACGTTACAGTTTCTTCAGTTCACCAAGGAATGGCTACCCTCCCGGTCTGGACCCAAGGTTTCCAGCGTTCAAATCTGGCGCGACGCCCTTTGTTGGTTTAATGGCTCCTCTGGGTGCGCCCCAGCCGCCTACCGTGACAACCACCTCACCTCTTTCCAGCAAAGACCCGAAAGAACAGAAGCAAGACACTCTGTTCGGTAATCCTGTCTTTCCACCGATGCTCGACATGTCGTCGACACAGGCACTTTTGCATATGGTTAGGACTGCGAATGCTGCCCAGAACGCGGCTGAATTGGAAACGTATCTGAAAGGTATTCGATAATTATTCATATTCATTAAACCAAGTGATCTTTGATTTCTCATTTTTATATTATTCTCGCGTTACTTATCTATGATCTTTAATATTCTGCATCGTTTTTATTAAATATAAGGGTTGAAAAATAGGTTAAATACATTGCTAGGCTATTACAATATTTATAATTACTTCGAAGTAAAATCGGTTTAAAAACTAATAAAGTTCTTAATTTAAGTTTCCAATTGGTTTAAAAACTAAAAAGATTAATCTGTAGCGGCACATCGTTCGCAGCCCGAAGGGTCGAGAAAATTACTTGCAGTGGTTAAAGCAGAAGTCCAAAACTTTCTTTAATTTCTGCCAGTAAAAATATTACCGCACTAAGTGTGTTTTCCCTGCAATAAGGGAAGTTTTTCCTCCGCCACATCAAGGTGAACCCGAAGAAAAAGAGTCTAAAACTTTTGCACTCAGAAGGTGACTCTTAGTCACCAGTTGATTTGACGCAGTAAAACTACAAAATCTGATATTTAATATTGAACTTTCTATAATGCCTCGATACGTGAAATATTGGAATAAATAGCTTTGTCCCTCAATATACTTCTAATTTCCCTCCTCATTAGCTTCAAAAAATATCGTCTTTATCTCATCATCAACGGTTAAAATATTTTTAGTGAAAAGTTGCCGTGCAAAGAGATATTCATCGCGTCTAACCGATTCGTACATTTCCGAGCATAGCTATTTATCAATAAACCACGTTAACACTAGAACTACCAACCACTCGAATCGGCATTTCGAAATTTGTCTATAGGAACTCTGAGAATACAGCTGCTGAAATTTCAATTGATCTATGATTCAATTCTAATATTACAAAATCACTTTTTTTAGTGATTCCGTAGAGGAGCATCTGTTACGTTTTTAATCATTGAGAAAGAAGAAGGCAGGAACGGATCAATTCGACCCATCTGGTAGTTCTAGTGTTAAAGAACACGTTTACAATTTTAGCAACTACTAACGACAAGTCTAAATTCTGCTCATCGTCTTAACAATGAACAATGAAATTTGCCTTAATCAGGTGCGAACAAAAGAGACGCTGGTGTGACGAGTCCCCTAGACCTGTCGAGTCCAGGAGGATTCGCTCCCCGCAAGAGGCAAAGAACGGAGACCCGTAGATCGGGTAGCGTGTCGCCTAAACCGAAACCAACTCCCAGACCCACCACGCCACCCCCAGTGAGGTGTCCATCCCTTTGCGGCCACATGCCGTGCGGCGACGGGCAAGCTGTCAACCGGTGGACCATCGAAGACGTCGTGAATTACGTGTCGTCGATCGACAGTTGCGCCGAGTATGCACAGGTGAGTCACGGCAAGCTTTGTTTGTCCCTCTTTTCCCGCAGGCATGCTTTTTTTTGCGAGCCGCCATTACGACACTCGGCGAACGTGTCGCCGTGGCTTCGCGAGAAACGCCATAGGCGCTGGGAAAACTCGAGGTGAGCTAATCGACGGCCACGGAATTTCTGGGGAACAATCGAGGAACGATTTCCATCGATTTTCTGTAAACGTTGGAATATCTGTCATGCAACGAACGCCTCGTAATTGGTCAATTTAGAATTGAACAGTTTTTTTCGAGCGGTCGCTCGTTACTGTGATTTAAGTTGGAGTTGTACGTTAAGTGGATACATTAATGAGATCGTTTCGAGTAAATTTGTATTGGAAGCTGTTTGGAGATTTTATATCAGAATTTGGTGTAAATTCTTTTATCTTTATGACGTTCGAATTTATTTAATCAGATAATGACAGAAATTCTATTTAAATATTTTTACTTTACTATTTATGAAACTTCACAGTTAACATCCGCACCCGTTAGAAGGGTTTCAATTTTTTTATTTGGTAATTATTGATATCTTAAAAGCGTTATATATCTGAAATGATTTGTAAAAAATCTATCAATTATAGAATTGTTGTAAGGATTACTAATCTTGGTTGTTCTAGTGTTAATATATCTGACTAAAATTTGCTGGAAGCTACTGAACGCTTCCAGTAGTTCAACTTTGTTGGGAACCGATTGTTTTTACGTATCCATGATCAGCGGAGAGATTTAGGTGTTTCTATTCACGTGTCCCAGCTCCTTACAGCCAATAACGCGAATATATATCATTCAATTCAATTTCCTGAGCAATCGGAACGACACATCGACAAAAACTTGCCGCTCGAAAATTTATGCCGCAATTAATACCGGCAACGAAACATTAACCACCGAACGTACCCGGTATCAATTACAAAACGTCCGTCCGACGTTAGACAGGGTTAGGCTTTTAATTACTTCCCCGTCGCTCTGATTTCTCCCGAAGCTTTCTCTCCGCGTTCATTTTTCAATCTTTTCCCCGCGGCGTACTCGATTCTTCGTTCCTTCGTTCGCCGAACGAACGAATTTCGCAACAATAGCGAATCCCATCGATCAAAGTCAGGTGAAATGTAATCTGATTAGATATTACTGATAATAATCCAATTCCACAGACGATTCTATAATCAACTCTTCAATAATCTTCAATTACCACTAAGCACACAACCGAAATGAAACTGATCACTGTATCTCCTAATTCCTAATTACAAACAGTAACATCCCATTAAACAGAAGTTTCATCTCAACCATTTTCATTAACCCTCAACTCCTACAGAACCAAACAAAATAATTAGAGCTCACTTAACCTACAAATGTTCATATTTCAATGACTTTCTTCAGTTACCAAACTAAATAATCACCGTACACACTTTATATCATTTATAATAGCCACATGAAGAATATTCATAATGATCAATGAACGCATAACCAAATTACATTTTTCCCAAGATCGATACAGAAAAGGAAAGATCTATTCGTCTGCGTCATGGAAAATGAGCGATTGGTCGTATAGATCCGCGGAACATCGAGGGGGCGGGATAAGCTTGGGCATGCCAGTTTTAATTGCTTTTGAAAGTCGTCCGCGTAATGAGCCGTGCCGGGATACGTCGCGCAATATCTTTCGAACTGTTCAGCCTCCTCTCGACAATCCGCGCGCAGCGATGAGGCAACCGGAGGAGGCCTAGGAAGCTCCGAATGACCTGACATCAGTCAATCCAGACAGTCTGGCATCAGCGAGCACTCGTTGCTCGCCCGTTAGAAGAGTTCTATAATGACCCCTCGAAGCTAGAAACGACCCTGCACCCCTCTTCGATCCTCTTGTCCGCACACTTTCTTCCCCTTTTTCTCGTACGCTCTCGCTGCCTCTCGCCTTTCCCTTTCTTTCTCCTTCTGTCTCTATCTCTCCTCCTCTCTCTCTGTCTCTGTCTCTCTGTGTCTTTCTCTCTCTCTCTCTCTCTGTTCGGCAGACGTGGGACGAAATTCCACGGGGAACGTGAAGCTATCCGCGATCGTTCGACATGGTCGTTTCTCTTGGTTTTCCGTTGAAGTTGCAACGACAGAGTTTTCTCTTCCTGATCCGTGGCTTCGTTCGAAGTGTTTGCTTTGGCTAATTTGTTTGGTAAAGGGAACAGAAGTGTTTTTAATTTAGAAGGATTTTTTAGGATTTTATTTTCTTCGTGGAAATATGTATAGAGTTCGGTAGGAGTGTTTAGGACAGCTAGAAGTAGTATCTTTAAGTATGAAGCAAATGGGATTCATTAAACTTCATTTGGAACCATTCTTTCGCATAATGGAAACTTTAAGAACGATTCAAAATTTTCGTTGCGAATGTCGATATTACTTACCGATTGCTTCTTAGCGCAGAATTTTGATATTTCCTATGATTCAAAAGTTAATTACACGAAGTATCGATATTTCCATTGGAAACAAGAATAATCCCCAATTTCTTTGTCTCGGTTGAAAGTATTTATAAGAACGATCAACATTGTCGTTGATTCGTTTCTCACCGGTTCCCCTGATAACACGCTGGATCCCGGCGAGTGCAAACCTCTCGGAACGCCCTCCGGACGTTCCGAAAACACTGACCAGTCGTCCCGAGACGTAACGTGGTTCCCCGGGAACTGTCAGACCCGATTATGTGACCGGTTATCGTTGGCCCTCAGCTCGGAGCCGCGGTCCTCGAAACGTCAGCCTGTCAGCTTCGTAAATTTTTGCGGGGGCATCCACCTAGTCATGCATATTCATGAACACTCGAACCGAGAACGAGGTCCTCGAGTATCTCGATCGGCCGTCCACTCGGATTCGAGGATGACGCTGGCCACTGCACGAATATGGTCGCTGCTGGCTCGGATTGTCACGCTCTTAGTCAGATCTGGAATTCACTCGTTTGTTTGGAAGTAGGTTGAGTATCGTAGTAATATTCTTCATTGATCAATTCAACGTACCTTTGTGTTCTATATAGATCCAGTCTTCTTCGTCTAGATTTATTTAGATTCATCTACTTAATTTAGATTCACTTAGTTTTCGTTATTTAACCGTCTCTTGATCGTAGATTGATATGAACTTAATCGTCGAATGCTAAAGTGCTAGAATGCAACATTTGAAATTGTTTGTAACAAGAATTTTTCTTTTTTCTACTTAGCTTTAGAGGTTTAAATAATTTTCCTTTTGTTCAACAGATGGTTAATATGTAATAGAAACATCTATTATTTCTTAATAAACAGCGATGAATAAATACGAAGTACTGCAGAAATTCCATAAAATTTCATTAATAACACTTATTACTGTATCTCCCACAATAATCGATATAGACAAATTAATAATGAATTTCCATTGCACTCGAATAAAATTCAACGATAGAATCAAAAAGAAACTACTTCGATAAAATGAAATCAATCGAGAATCACACTGTCCTTTAATGAAATCCCATTTAATGATAAAAAGAAGAATGCTGTCAAGTTTCGGATAATTATATCGAAGGACTCGCGAACGGTCTCGCTTCGAGGAGAAATAATTGATAGACCGGAAGAGATTTGAATATGGATGGTTTCATTGAGCGAAGCGGCCGGAGTACATACAGCCGCGATCGTGGATTGAAGGCGAGCCCAGGTTTCGTGACGAATCACAGATAGCGGGAGCACGAACGAACGATTTACAAGGTTTTCTGGTTCGTAAATAGCGTATCGCGTCGCGGCGTCCCGAGATTATCTTATAAAGGATACCGCGGACTGATCAGCGGTGAGAGAGCGATCCTACGGTAGATCCTCATGGAATTATAGCGTCGATCCTTATCTGGATCTGGAATAGTGCCGCGGTATGTACGCTCACTTTCGTTCGAGCGAGCGCGGCGAGAAACTATCGCCGGGAAATGTAAATAATTGCCGCGAATGCTGCGTACCTAATTATCGCGGCTTGTTCGGCAGATACGATTTATGATGTTCAATAAAGAAGCGATATTTAATTGCTCGTTAATGACGCTCGCACCGGTGTTCATTGCGTTGATTGACTTCCGATGGCGTTAATACTGCGCCGCTTCCCTTGTTAATTCGCTAATTACTGCCTGCCACGTTTTATATCACCGATTCGTCCTTTTCAAGGAGTTTTCTGGAAGGAGATCGATTTTGCTCGGCCTTCTCTTTGTCCATTACTACAGATTTTCATGAATTTTTCATATTGATAATCTCGATTAATTTGAAATTTGAATAGTAACGTTGGTTAAATTTTCATTGTAAATTTTTCTTTACACTAGCGATGAGATTGCGAGTTTTTCGATGATCAGTGTTTCTCGTTTAGAAAACATTTTTCTACTTTTTGTTATGTATTTAATTGAAAAACTTATTTGACGTATGAAAGCTACCTTAATTCAATCTAATAAACAAATGGACAATCTCTGTAATAATATCCAACAAAGTCATCTTTGTATTTCAGTGAAAAGTACAAAAATTGTAAAATAAGATGTTTTACGACCACGTTTCGTGTTCGATCATTTTATTTGTCTTACACACTTTTATAATTTGTAAAGAATCGTCCGTAACTAAGCAAACCGTACTTCACTGTAACAAGAAGCCTCGCTGGTATAAAGAACCCATAAGAAATGTTGCATGTTTCGGAATCAAGGGGGACGACTTTAAAACCGCCACATTGGAGCGTCTTTATGTATGTGTGCTCGGTCCCGGATCGTTAGAAAGTCATGAATGTGAATCGAATCGGTTCGTACGTCTTTCGTGATGTGGCACACAAGAAGATATCGTGTCTTCACGTCCCACGCATGATCTTCATGCAAACTCCTCCATCGTTTTCGCTCGCGTTTTATCGGTCTCGTGCTTGTCGCCCATTCCAGGTCCCCAGTGGTCTTCATCCTTTGTTGCGACGGACAAAAACCTGAGTTACCATTTTGCTTCTCATCTTTCACAGTATTCAACGTTTCCTCTCTTCCTGATCTAGTGAGGCGAAA